TGTCAGACACGGAGTCTGTCCTGGAATCAAGGTGGAGGCAGAGATATAGAGTTGGGTGTCATCCACATACATGTGGAAATTGACTCCATGTCTGTGGATCATGTCACCAAGGGGGAGCATGTAGAGGTAGAAGAAGAGGGGACTGAGGACAGAGCCCTGAGGAACACCACACAAAACTGCGTGGGGCTGGAAAAGAAACCGTTGGTGGAGATAAATTGGAGGCAGTGTGAGAGCTAAGCCCTGAACCATTCAAGGACAGAACCTTGAAGGTTGAGGTGAGAGGAGAGCCGGTGGGAGGATGGAGTGGGTCCATGGTATTGAAGGAAGCAGAGAGATCGAGGAGCACGAGGAGGCAGAGGGAGCCCTGGTCACAGATAGAAAGGATGTCATTTATCACCTTGACCAGAGCAGTTTCGATGATGTGAGCAACACGGAAAAATCGATTGGAGAGGCTTGTGAAAGGAGTGGTAGGAAAGGAAGGAGCCAGGCTGGGAAGCAACAACTCTTTCCAGGACTTTCGAAAGAAAAGGGAGGTTGGAGATGGGCCGGAGGTTAAAAGGCAGGGATGGGTCCAAGGAAGGGTTTTTCAGCACAGAGAGATTGTAGCTGTTTTAGGGGGATGGGAACAGTGTTAGGAGCAGGTTGGCAAGAGCAAAGGCTTGGGGGGCCCCAGAGTGTGTGTTGGGGTAACTGCTGGAGTCTAACCAGCTAAACCCACACAGCTTGGTCATTGATATAATAATAATAATCCTTGCATTTGATAGAACGCTTTTCACGTCTTCTCGACATCCCAAAGCGCTTCACAGAATATACTGTAAAGTGAATTCACTGTATACTCGTGGGCGAACGCGGCAGCCAATTGCGCACAGCAATGTCCCACAAACAGTCGTAGATTGAAAATGACCAATTTATTATTGGTTTTGGTTTTGGAGGATTATTATTAGGCTCTGTGTGGCTTAAGGAAACTTGCCCGAGGTTTGGCCCTCTGCCTGGGATTGAACTCAAGTCTCTCACTTGCAAAGCGAGTGCTCTAACCACTGAGCTACAGGACTCCACAATCATTGTCTGGCAGCTTTCCCGCTGCTTGTCCAGCGAGGACCCCCCTCCCCGTTAGTTAGGGCTTTGGCTGTGGGGTTACCAGGAGCTGAGGGGAGGATTCCCGGCCCCCAGTGACTGGTCGGCCCTTCCAGGTCCTGCTGATGAGCCGGGCCGGGCTGTGCTGCCATCAGCAGTGAGTGCCCCGGGACACTGCGGTCCCTCCTGGTCAGGACCCGGACTGGAGACCGGCACAGAGAGGGGGGCCGGTACTGACATTCCGTTGCCAAACATGTCACCTTGGGGCCAGTTCAGCTCCAAGGAGATCCCAATTACCTCACCCCCCCCCCCCCCCCCCCACCCCAGGAGGATAGCAGTCATGGAACGAGTGGACAATATTATTTGGGGATTGTTGTCCAGGACACCGGAGAGAGAGAGACACTCCCTTCTCTTTTCCAATAGCCCCGCAGGATCTTTACCATCCACCTGAACAGGCAGACGGGACCTCGGTTTAACATCTTGTTGGTGGTTCCAACAATGCAGTACTGCCCCAGCACTACATTGAAACATCAGCCAAGATCCTTTCTGTGTCAACTGAACCTTTACAGGACTCTGAATGTTGTTCCTCTTCTCCGCAGACCTGGGGCTGAATCTCCTAGAGGGCGACATTAAAGTTAACAAGGTCAGTTAATGAATTCCATGAATTTTATAACATAACATGTTGGAGCAGGAGGAGGCCATTCGGCCCTTCGAGCCTTCCCTGCCATTCAATCATGGCTGATCTTCTAATCTAACTCCATCTGATAACCTGACGCTGCCTTACCCCTATATCCCTTAATCCCTTTTGCAATAAGAAATCTATCTATCTCATCTTGAATATGTTCGAGGACTGAGCGTCAACAGCCCTTTGGGGTAGTGAGTTCCATACATTCACTGCCCTTTGAATGAAGAAGTTCTTCCTCAACTCAGTGCGAAAGGGCTGTCCTCTGATTTTAAGGTTGTGACCCCGGCTTTAGTTTCTCCAACCGGGGGACAATCTCCCACTATCTACTCTATCATGGCCTTTGATGATCTTATAGGTTTCTATAAGATCCCCTCTAATTCTTCTATATTCTAGAGAATATAGGCCCAAATTGGTCAGCCTATCCTCGTAACTCATCCCCTTCATCCCTGGTACTAACCTAGTAAATCTACGCTGCACCCCCTCCAAGGCAAAGACATCCTTCCTTAAATGAGGAGAGCAAAACTGGACACAGTATTCCAGGTGTGGTCTCACCAGGGCCCTATACAGTTGCAGCAACACTTCCCTACTCTTATACTCTAATCCTTTCATAATGAATGCTAACATACCGTTCGCCTTCCTGATGGCTCGAGGCACCTGCAGACTAACTTTCTGTGATTGGTGTACAAGGACACCCAAGTCCTTTGGACGCTAACACATTCCAATCTCTCCCCTTCTAAAAAATAACCGCTCTACTGTTTTTGCTACCGAGGTGGCACTTCCCTACATTATACTTTATAGTCTGTCACACATAATGATAATCCTTGCATTTGATATAGCTCTTTATCATGTCGTTGAGCCGTCTCAAAGCGCTTCACAGAATATACTGTCAACTGAATTTATTATGTATATTTTGTGGGTGAAACACAGCAGCAAATTGTACACAGCAATGTCCCACAAACAGTCGTGGATTGAGTGACCAAATTATTATTATCCCCGGAAAAGCAATCCGACAATTGACTAACGGATTCCTACTCACTGCTAAGTGAACAGAGGTATGTGGAGTAAGGAACTTGCCCAAGGTTTCATCCTTCTTGGGTCACCTTCAACCGCGCCTTGGGTCACCTTTCCCCCCCCTCCCCCCGGCTCGGTCCCGGGATCCATTACTGTAAAGCGCTCTGAGACATCGTCCAGCGTGGAGGGCGCTATGTAAATCCAAGTTGTTGTTGTTGCTTGGGAATTGAACCCAGGTCCTCTCGCTTGCGAGGAGAGTGCCAGAAACCATCCCCCCTGGGCCGGATGTGGCCCACAGGCCACCAGTTGCACCACTATGAGCCCAGATGGGGCTTGAACCAACATCTTCTGAACCAGAGACGAGAGTTCTACAAAATTAGCCACGATTACATCTGGCTTTAACCAGGAGGTCAGTGGGCCACCAATGGTGTGTTTTGTATGTGCGTTCATGCTCATCAAAACTGGATAACCCTGGCTTAAGTCTTCATTGCTGTCAATATCCCAGCCACATTTATTTATGTTTTTATATAAAGGCCTAACTCATCACTGAGTCCTCTTCCCTTGGGGTGACAGGTTATCAGGAATTTACTTTAATTCATACATTACATGTAACAATGTTCACCCTATCGTGGCTATTATGGTGCATATATCGACTGTGGGCAGCCCTGACTTGGCTAGTGTTGCTTCTGATTCCAGGCATCCCACAGAAGGAAGGTTGGGTTTGGCCTGTGGCCAAAGACCATCCCATACTACATGGAGAATAATCTAGGTGAATATTGCTATGGGCATAAGCAGGTTGGTTTTAACATCTTTTGTGGAGTTCTGCTGGTTGGTTAGTGTGCTCCCTCACAAGCGAGAGGATCTGGGTTTGAGTCCCGGGCAGGGCGAAACCTTAGGCAAGTTTCTTACCCCACACACCTCTATTTACTTAGCAGTATGTAGGAACCTGGTTGTTAGTCGATTGGCAGATCGGTTTCCAGGGGTAATAATCTCTCGCCCAAAAAAAATTTGGTCCTCAATCCACGACTGTTTGTGGGACGCTGTGTTTGTGCAATTGGCTGCTTCATTTCGCCAACAAAATACACAATCAATTCACTTTACAGCGTATCCTGTAAAGGCTTTGGGACGTCTCGAAGACATGATAATGTGCAATATCAAATACAAGATATTATTATTATTATCAGTCTGAGTCTGCCAACCTAACTCTAATTTATTTTAGAGAATTAGAAATAATAATTATCTTTACATTTGTTATGACACCTTTCATGTCGGGAGAACTTCCCAAAGTACATCACGGATATACCAAAGTACAATAGCTTTTTAACTGGTTTACATACAATACAAAATTTGATCAGGAGAAGGTCCAAAGGTGCTGAACAGTCAGGAATTAGAATCCGTGCGGTGGGGGTAACGGACATGAAGGCCCGACCGCCGAAGGTGGGTGAGCTGGGCGGGGGACATGGAGCAGGGCGGTGAGAGTAGGTAGGTTGATAAGGGGTTAGCAAGTCAGAGAAGTAGGAGGGGCAAGACCATGGAGGGCCTTGAAGGTGAGGATGAGAATTTTGAACGCGATCCTCTGAGGGATGGGGAACCAGTGGAGTCGGGCGAGGGAGGAGGTGATGGGGTTACAAAGCCTGGTGTAGGAGAGGACATGGGCTGCAGAGTTCTGGATGATTTGCAACTTGTGGCAGGACGAGTTAGGGAGGCCGACAAGCATAGTTGGCATAGTCAAGCCTGGTTGTAATGAAAGCGTAAATGAGGGTTATGGTGGCCTGAGGAGTGAGGCAGTGGGGGAGTCAGGCAATGTTGTGGAGGTTGGAGAGGCAGAGCGGGTCATAGCATGGATGTAGGGGAGAAAGAACAGTTGAGGGTCGAACAAGATGCCTAAGTTCCTGACTGGCTTAATGAGGTGGTGTGTGCATCCATGGATGCTGATGCTGCCAGTGCCTGGAGGGTGGACGGGAATCAATCAGGAGCCTCGGTCTTTTGATGTTCAACTGTAGAAAATTAGCTCTCATCCAGGACTTGATGTCTGATGGTGTCAGGACAGCAGTGGGTCCTGGGATCGAGGGTGGAGGCAGACACGTAAAGTTGGGTGTCATCCGCATACATGTGAAAGTTGACCCCACATCTACAGATGATATCACCAAGAGGGAGCATGTACAGGTTGAAAAGGAGGGAACCAAGGTCAGAGCCCTGAGGAACACCACACAAGAATGGTCCACAGGGTCGAAGGCAGATGAGAGGTCGAGGAGGATGAGGAGGCAGAGGGAGCCCTGGTCACAGATGGACAGAATGTCATTTGTTACCTTGACCATGGCTGTTTCTGTGCCGAGGGCAGGAAACCCAATTGGAGGGGTTCATGAAGGGAGTGGCAGGAGAGGAAGGAGCGAAGCTGGGAAGCAACAACTTTTTCAAGGACCTTGGAAAGGAAAGGGAGGATGGAGATGGGGGGATAGTTTGTGAGCAGGGATGGGTCCAGGGAAGGTATTTTTCGGATAGGATTGATAACAGCTATTTTTAGGGGAGGTGAGAATGGACAGAGAGGTTGATGAGGTCTGAGAGTAAAGGGGCAGAGGAGGTGGAGCTGGGAGGTAAGGAGAGGGGTAAGGATGGGGTCGAGGGAGCAGGTAGTGGGCTTCATGCGGGTTATAGTGGTAGTGCGAGAGGAGGGGGAGACAAGTTCGAAGGTGTGGAGGGAGGGATGGGTATTGGCTGGAGTGTGAAGGAGAGATGGGAGGGGGCGGCAGTTGGGAGAGGGGAGGCAGCTGAACGGATCCCTCAATTTTGGTCTCAAGCAAATCCAGCATCTCCTCGCAGTTAGAGTTGGAGGAAAGAATGGGCGAGGCGTGAGAGGGTAGACGGAGGAGCCGGTTGGTAGTGGAGAGGAGAAGCCTGGGGTTGTCCTTGGCCTTCAGGATTACCTTGAAATAGACAGACGATTTAGCGGAGTCAAGGGCGGTGCAGTAGTGTTTATGTGGTCCAGCCAGATCTGCTGGTGGACCGTTAGATCAGACTTGAGCCAGGTGGGTTCAGTGGCACACACCTGACCCTTGAGTGAGCAGAGGTGTACCAGGGTGAGGTTTGTGAGTAGGAGATGGTTCGGGAGGTGAGAGGGGCAAGGGCATCCAGAGTGGTGGAGTGGGAATTGTGGAGGAGAGTGAGCGAGAAGGATATATCATTGCGGGAGGTAGGCCAGAGGGGGAGGAGTTCAAACGATTTCAGGGCAGCGGAGAGGGAGTGAGGAGAGATTATTTTCCATAGGCGGTAGGAGATGGAGGTCGGTTGGGTGGCGGTGGGGAGAGAGTTGGGCAGTTAAGGGAAATTAAATAGTGATCTGAGATGGCTTTATCGGTGATTGTGAGGTCTTTGTCACCTCTCAGCTGGACTACCCTAACGCCCCCTCGCCGGTCTCCCATCCACCACCATCCATAAAATACAAATCATTCAAAACTTTGCCGCCCGCATTCTCACCCGCACCAAACTCCACTCCCCGATCCCCCCAGTCCTGGCCCTCCCCCCCACCCCAACCCCTCTCCCCGATCCCCCAGTCCTGGCCAGACTGCACCGGCTCTTGTCCCAGAGAGGATCCACTTCAAGATCCTCACCCTCGTATTCAAATCCATCCACTCGTCTGCACCCCCCGACCTCTTTGACCTCTTCTCTCCTCACAACAGTACCCGTTGCCTTTGTTCCTCCGGGTCTGGCCTTCTCCTCGTCCCCCAAGTCCTCCGCTCCACCCTCGGCGACCGTGCCTTGAGCCACTGTGCCCGAGGCTCTGGAACTCCCTTCCTCACTCCCTTCGCCTCGTCCCCTATTTTCAGGTCCCTACTGAAGACCTTTTTTTCCGACCGCTCCTTTGGTCACCTCCCCCTGGCTCCTATTACTATTGAGCACAGTGATGGGTTTCCACATGTGTCAGACACCCGGCAAACCAACCAATCAATCAATCAATCAATCAATACAAATTGCAGTCCATTCTCCTGAACTGAACTCTTTTTTGTTCCTAAAGAACTGGGTATCAAAGGTCTTATCATGAAAGCTTTTGAACAGTACCGTCTGAAAACCTGCATTGATTTTAAACCTTGGGCAGGAGAGAGAAACTACATCTCATTTCAAGATAGTGATGGGTAAGCCTTCTCCTAGTTCTCACTGCTTCTCCTCAGCATCTTGTGCATTTATTATATTATATATTATATATTCAGTGTTCTGGGACGCTCCTCTGCATGAAGGACACAATGTCAAATGCAAGGTTTATTATTATTATATAAAGTTGTTGTTGTTGTATATTGTTCTGCAGGTGCTGGTCCTTCATTGGCAACCAACAAAGAGGGAAACAGAATGTGTCACTTCAGCTGAGCTGTAACGAGATTGGCATCGTAGAGCACGAGATCCTTCATTTCCTGGGAATGATTCACGAGCAATCCAGAGATGATCGTGACGACTACATCACAGTCATTTGGGATCAAATTCAAACTGGTAAACAGGAGGTTTCACATTAGAACTTTTTACTGTCTATGATTATATATTACAACAACAACTTGCACTTATATTGTGCACTGCACGCAGGGTAGTGTCTCAGAGCGCTTAACAGTGGCAGAGGCTGACTCCGAGCTGGGAGTGGGGGGAGGAGCGAAGGTGACCATCAGCACGATTGAAGAGAAGGTCAAAGAGAAAGGGAAGAGAGGGGCAAGGCGGAGGAGAGTGTTCCAGAGTTCGGGATGTCGTGGCTGAAACAACAACAAAATTACATTTGTATATAGCTTCTTTCACGTTGGGAGGACGTCACAAGGCATTGGAAAGTGCGACCTCTGATGGTGGGGCAGAAGGTGTGAGGGACGAGCAGGAGCTGGTGCCAGTCGAGTGGAGGCATCTGGTGGTGGATTGGGGAGTGAGGGAGTCGGAGAGGTGGGGACTGAGGGGGTCGGAGAGGTGGAGAGTAAGGGGGTCGGAGAGGTGGGGATTGAGGGGGTCGGAGAGGTGGGGAGTGAGGGGGTCGGAGACGTGGGGAGTGAGGGGGTCGGAGAGGTGGGAGTGAGGGGTCGGAGGTGGGGAGCGAGGAGTCTGAGAGGTGGGAGCAAGGGGTTCGGAGAGGTGGGGAGTGAGGGGTTCGAGAGGTGGGGAGTAAGGGGCCCGGAGAGATGGGGAGTGAGAGGGTCGGAGAGGTGGGGAGTGAGGGGGCCGGAGAGATGGGGAGTGAGAGGGTCGGAGAGGTGGGGAGTGAGGGGGTCAGAGAGGTGGGGAGTGAGGGGTCGGAGAGGTGGGGGTGAGGGTGGGAGTGAGGGTGGAGAGGTGGGGAGTGCCAGGGAGTGAAGGGATTTGAACACGAGAGTGAGAGCATCTTGAAGTGGATGTGTTGGGTGATGGGGAGCCAGTGGAGCCTGGGCCAGAGCGGATGAGATGTGGGGATGGAGTTTGGTTCAGGTCAGTGTGTGGGCGGCAGAGTCTGAATTAGATGATCTTGTGAATAGTGGAGCTGAGGAGACCGGCGAGGAGGGGGTTGCAGTAATCCAGGGGGAGGTGACAAACACATGCAAGAGGGTTTCGGCTGCATATGGGGGTAAGGTACGGTCGGAGGTGGGCAATGTGGTGGAGGTGGAGGAAGGCCTCCTGGTCAGGGACCGGATGTGGAGGAGGAAGGACAGTTGGGGGTCAAACTGGATGCCTTGATTGCACACTGATTTGGTGAGTGTGAGGGAGAGCCCAGTTAGGTTGAGGAGGCTTCCGTTTTGTCCATATTCAGCTGCAGGAAGTTTACACTCATCCAGGCCCTGATGTCTACCAGACAAACTGATAGAACATTGGCAGACCTGGAATTGGTGCTGGAGGAGGCAAAGCAGATTTGTGTGTCATCCGCATACATGTGGACGTTTATCCCGTGTCTAAGGGTGACATCGCCCAGAGGGAGCTTATAGATAAGGAAAAGAAGAGGCCAAGCCCTGGGGCACCACACAGGTGACTGGGCGGGGGCACAAGGAGAAACCATTTGCTGAGATGAAATGGAGGCAGTTGGTTAAGTAGGACTCGATCCCACTCAGGTAGATGAGGGAGGAGAGCTGATAGAGGAGGATGGCGTGGTTGACTGTGTCAAATGCGGCAGAGAGATCCAGGAGGACAAGGAGACAGTGGAGCCCTGATCACAGGTAGAGAGAATACAACTGTTTCCTATCCATGTCCTCTAATTTTGTCATTTGGTTTGTGGGACGATGCTGGTGTCCAATTGGGCTGCTGAATTTCGCCCACAAAATATGCAGTGAATTCACTTTACAGTAAATTCTGTGAAGCGCTTTGAGATGTCTTGAAAACTGATAAGGTGCTATATCAAATGCAAGGATTATTATAAGCCCTTTTGAGAAGCTTCAATGATGTCATAAGGCGCTATATCAAATAATAATCCTTGCATTTGATATAGCACCTCATCACATCGTGTGACATGTCTCAAAGTGCTTCACAGAATATATTGTAATGTGAATTGACTGCATTGTGTGGACAAAATGTGGCAGCCAATTGCATAGCCAGTGTCCTACAAACAGTAGTGGATTGAGTGACCACATGTTTTTATTTTGAAGGAATATTACCCCAGAAAAGTGAGCCACAATTGACTAAAAACCGGGATCCCTACTTACTGCTGTAAACAGAGGTGTGTGGAGTAAGGAAACTTGCCCAACATTTTGCCCTGCTGGGGAATCAATCCAGGACCTCTCACTTGTGAGGCGAATTCTCTAACTACTACACTGTAGGACTCCATGTTCAAGGATTATCATATTAGAAAAACGATAATAACTTGCATTTATATAATGCCCTATGTAGAGTCTCGGAGCGCTTTACTTTTGTTTATTGAGCGAGGTCAGGCCTGCTCACCCCCATTAGCCAAATTCCCCGAATATGTTCCATTTAGGGAACGAGGGTTGTCCTCGGAGAATAACCCCTCCCCTTCTCTTCCCCCCAAACCCTTCTCGGACACAAATTAGCAAAGGACAATAGGGACCTGAACATAGGAACAAGAGGAGGTCATTCAGCCCCTCGAGCCTGTTTCACCATTCTATGGCTGATCTGCATCTCAACTATATTTACCCACCTTTGCCCCATATCCCTTGATCCCCTGAACTAACAAACATCTGCCCACCTCAGTCTTGAAAAATTGAATGGATCCAGCCATAATCCACAGCCTCTGAGGGTGGGGAAGAGTTCCAGATTTCCAGTAGCCTTCGGGTGAAACCTGTCTTCACACCCCTGAACAGGTCAGGTGATGGGATGGCCTCTGTAGCATGAGCCTTGTGACCAGGGGCTCTGTGTGAGGGCAGGTCATACTCCTTGGGTGGGAAGTGCTGCAATACCGACTCCAACCAACACAGGGTTCATAGCTGTTGCCAGGAGCTCAATCCTTTGAGCTCAATTGGCTGTTCAAGCGCTATGGAATGCTATCCTGCATGAGGACACTATATAAATCCAAATTGTTCTTGTTGTGCTGGCACCTCACCACCAATCATCAACAGGACAACGTTTCTGGCCATTACTAGCTCAAGGAGTAACTGATAAGAACCGATACTGTAGTGTCCTGTAGGGTTAGAGCACTTACCTTGCCGGCGAGAGGACCCAGGTTTGATTCCCAGGCAGGGTGAAGCTCTCGGTAAGATTCCTTACTCACACGGCTCTATTTACCAAGCAAGTAAGTTGTTAGTCGATTGGCGGATCACTTTTCCGGGGGTAATAATCCCTTCAAAATAAAATAATAATAATAAATTGGCCACTCAATCCATGACTGTGTATGGGACGCTGCTGTGCGCAATTGGCTGCCACGTTTCGCCCACAAAATACACCGTCAATTCACTTTAAAGTGTATCCTGTGAAGCGCTTTGAGATGTTTTAAAGACGTGAAAAGGCGCTGTATCAAATGCAAGTATGATTATTATTATTGTCCCAGTACTATTCATGTATGTCAGTAATCAGTTGCTAACATCCATTTCAGACAAAGTCCATAATTTCAACAAATTCAGTGCAACACTTATGTCTAAGCTGAACGTACCGTATGACTACATGTCTGTGATGCATTATGGTGGCACCGCATATTCCAAAGACAATAACCTCACCATACTCACCAAAATCCCGGAATTCAACATGTTGATCGGGCAACGCATGGAACTCAGTGATCAGGATGTTCAGAAAGTCAATCAACTGTACAACTGCAGTAAGTTACAGCTATCTGAGTAGAACCATGGTCATGGGAAGGGTAGGAGCAAGGAAAGGAAGGAAGATTTTCTTTTGGTCAGCAGGGTGTCCGAAACCCATCACTTGTTTAAGAGTCTCCAAACCCAACTGAGATTTCCCCAAGGCTTGGGGGGACCCCAGAGTTTGTGTTGGGGTAACTGCTGGAGTCTAACCAGCTAAACCCACAGAGCTTGCCATTGATATCACTGTCTGGCCAGCTTTCCTGCTGCTTGTCCAGCTAGGACCATCCTACCTGGCTTGCAGGGTTAACATTTATATAGATGAAAGACGTCTCAAAGGATATTACACAGTCTAACCAGCTAAAACCACACAGATTGCCATACATACATACATACATGCAATTTATTAAAATAATAATAATTTGGTCTATCAATCCAGGACTGTTTGTGTGACACTCCTGGGTGTAATTGACTGCCATGTTTCACCCACAAAACACAGTCAATCTACTTTACAATATATTCTGTGAAGCGCTTTGAAACGTCTCAATGGCATGATAAGACGCTCACCAACTCACTATTGAGGCTGATGCATGAAGTCCCTCACTGAAGTGGCCAACATGAAAAGAAACTGTAACCCAACCAAAGTTAGGGTTCACAGGACAAGGCAGGGGAGTAAGAACCCAATCTTAAATCCAAACAGAAGATTATTTTGCGGTGAAGTTGAAAGTTGAATGATGTCCACCTTTTCTCTTGCTGTTCCTTTGCCCAGCCGGGCGTCTGACACATGTGGAAATCCATCAGCATTTTTACAAGTCTCCAAACCAAGCTCTTCCTTTGTGTTTCTGTCAGCCTCTTCGCTCACCTTTTTAGACAGTTGTGATTTTGAAGAGCCAAACATTTGCAGCATGGTTCACAGCTCAGCAGTGTCATTGCTTGGCGTCACATCAGACGTGAGACCAACTACAACAAAGGGAACAAGTGTAACGGTAAGGTATATCGCCCTGCTGTCAACCGCTTTCAAAACTAGACACTGCACTTGCGGTTTTTTCCTGCAGTCTCATATCTTAAAACGTGGAGTCCAGTAGCTCGCCTCACAAGCGAGAGGACCCAGGTTCCATTCTCAGGCGGAGGAATCCTTGGGCAAGTTTCCCTAAGCCACACACCTCTGTCTACCTAACAGGAAGTAGAAACCCCGGTGTTCAGTCGATTGGTGGATCGCTTTACCGGGAAAAATAATCCCTTCAAAAATAAATAAATAAATAAAAGTAATAATAATTTGGTCACTCAATCCACGACTGTTTGTGGGACACTGCTGTGTGCAATTGGTTGCCGCGTTTCACCCACAAAAATACACAGTGAAGTTACTTTACAGTATATTCCGTGGAAGCGCTTTGATTCGTGTCAATGACTTAATAAGGCGCTATATCAAAAGGAATATTATTATTATAATACTATGTTTAATATGTACAGGTTTTGGCAACTTCATGTATTTCGACACCAGCACAGGGAACATAGGAGATCGAGGCTTTTTGAAAACCAGGACATATCTCCCGAAGAGAACATTTCAGTGCTTGCAATTCTACTATTACAAAAATGGGAGTGAAGAGGATCAGCTGAACGTTTGGGTCAAAATATATGACAAGATTAACAGACGTGTTAACTCAACAAACGTCCAAACTATTGGAGGTATGTCAATGAACAACAACAACAACTTGCACTTACACAGTGCCCCTCATGCAGGGTAGTGTCTCACAGCACTTGACAATGGCAGAGCACGATGCTGAGCTGGGGGGAGGGGAGGGGGAGGTGACTGTGCGCACGGTCGAAGAGGAAGGTCTTCAGGTGGGACCTAAAGATGGGGAAGGAGAGGTAATAATAATAATAACAATAATAATCCTTGCATTTAATACAGCACCTTATCACGTCGTTCACATGTCTCAAAGCGCTTCACAGAATATACCACAAAGTGAATTGACTGTGTATTTTATGGGTGAAACACGGCAACCAATTGCACACAGCAGCGTCCCACAAACAGTCGTGGATTGAGTAGCCAATTTTTTTTTTGAAGTGATGTATTATTGTGCATTTTGCTGAGGAAGGTCTTCAGTCATCATTCAATAGAGGGAAAAGCCTGCAAAGCTTCGGGGTGTAGTAGCTGAAAGCAACAACAGCAACAACTTGCACTTATATAGCTTTCGTCACACAGAGTAACGTCCCAGCCCGATTTATATAAAGCACTAACGCCGTTGGTGGAGGGGATGAGGGACAAGCAGGAGGCTGGAGCCAGCCGATCGGAGGCAGCGGGCAGTGGAGTGGGGAGCAAACAGGTCAGAGAAATGCAAGGACGATTATTAATTATTATTTTTACCTTTCCAGGCACAGAGTTCGGCTTTTGGCAGCTTCACCACATCAGCCTGAACGCCACCAGACCATTCCGCATCGTCTTCGAAGGAGTGAAAGGCAGCAACAATTCGAGCGGAGGCATCTCCATCGACAATGTGAACCTGTCAGAAACCAAGTGCCCCACCCACATGTGGCACATCACAGATTTCAACAGACTATTGAGAACGAGCCCCTCAGGGAAAGACGGAAGAATCTTTAGTCCCAAATATTACTCCAGCGATGGATATGCTTTTCAAATTGTGCTGTTTGTGAACGGTACAAAGCATATCCCGTATCACCTCTCTGTCTTTCTGTTTCTAATCAGCGGACTTTACGATAACAGCCTGCAATGGCCTTGTCCTTGGAAGCAAGTCACCATATCTCTCATGGACCAGCATCCAGATATCCGACACCGTATGTCTAACCAACGCAGCATTATTATGGATCCCGAGGATGTCATAGACACAGGTCAATTGTGTATTGTATTACCTCGTTGCATCGATTAATAATCCCTGCATTTGATACAACGCCTTATCACATCATTGAGACGTCTCAAAGCTCTTCACAGAATATACTGTAAAGTGAATTGACTGTATATTTTGTGGGCGAAACGTGGCAGCCAATTGCGCACAGCAGCGTCCCACAAACAGCCGTGGATTGAGTGGCCAAATTATTATTTTTTTGGAAGGGATTATTACACCCGGAAAATTAATCTGCTAATCGACTAACAACCGGGTTCCTACTTACTGCTGGTAAACAGAGGCACGTGGAGTAAAGATACTTGCCCAACATTTTGCCCTGCCCAGGAATCAAGCCCAGGTCCTCTCACTTGTGAGGTGAGAGCTCTAAACACTGAGCTACAGCATTACAGAAAAAGGGGCTTAATCTTAAAATTAGAGCAAAGCCATTTAGGAGTGAAATCAGATTTTCAAGAGGTGAATAGTTTTGTTAGGTCAGGGATATGTGGCAAAGAGGGTGAGATTATATCAACAACAACAACAACTTGGACGTATATAGTGCCCCCCACTCCGGACGGCATTGCAGAGCTTCACAGTAATGGATCCCAGGACCGAGCCAGGGGGAGGGGCCAGGGGAGGGGGAGGAGCCAAGGGAAGGAACCAGGGGGAGGAGCCAAGGGTGGGGAGGAGCTTGGGAGGAGCCTGAGGGAGGGGGAGGAGCCTTGGGGATGGGGAGGAGCCAGGGAGGGGGTGGGGGGGGGAAGGTGACCAAAGGCGCCGTCGCAAAGAAAGATCTTCAGCCGAGACCTGAAAATAGGAAGAGAGGGGACGAGGGGAAGGGAGTGAGGAAGGGAGTTCCAGAGCCTCGGGGGGTAGTGGCTGAAGGCACAGCCGTGAGGGGGGAGCGGAGGCCTTGGGGGACGAGGAGGAGGTCAGACCCGGAGGAACGAAGGCAACGGGTACTGTTGTGAGGGGAGAGGAGGTCAGAGAGGTCGGGGGGGGCAGAGGAGTGCAGGGACTTGAACACGAGGTGAGGATCTTGAAGTGGATCCTCTCTGGGACAGGAGCCGGTGCAGTCTGGACAGGACTGGGGGGATCGGGGAGAGGGGTTTGGGGGTGGGGGGAGGGCCAGGACTGGGGGATCGGGGAGAGGGGTTTGGGGTGGGGGGGAGGGCCAGGACTGGGGGGATCGGGGAGAGGGGTTTGGGGTGGGGGGGAGGGCCAGGATGGGGGGATCGGGAGAGGGGTTTGGGGGGGGGGGAGGGCCAGGACTGGGGGATCGGGGAGGGGTTTGGGGGTGGGGGGGAGGGCCAGGACTGGGGGATCGGGGAGAGGGTTTGGGGTGGGGGGGAGGGCCAGGACTGGGGGGATCGGGAGTGGGGTTTGGGGTGGGGGGGGAGGGCCAGGACTGGGGGGATAGGGGTTTGGGGGTGGGGGGAGGGCCAGGACTGGGGGATCGGGGAGTGGGGTTTGGGGGTGGGGGGAGGGCCAGGACTGGGGGGATGGGGAGAGGGGTTTGGGGTGGGGGGAGGCCAGGACTGGGGGGATCGGGGAGAGGGGTTGGGGGTGGGGGGAGGGCCAGGACTGGGGGATCGGGGAGAGGGGTTTGGGGGTGGGGGGGAGGGCCAGGACTGGGGGATCGGGGAGTGGGGTTTGGAGGTGGGGGGAGGGCCAGGACTGGGGGGATCAGGGAGTGGGGTTTGGGGGTGGGGGGGAGGGCCAGGACTGGGGGGATTAGGGTTTGGGGGTGGGGGGTGGGGGTGAGGGCCAGGACTGGGGGATCGGGGAGAAGGGTTTGGGGGTGGGGGTGAGGGCCAGGACTGGGGGGATCGGGAGAGGGGTTTGGGGTGGGGGGAGGGCCAGGACTGGGGGGATCGGGGAGAGGGGTTTGGTGCGGGTGAGAATGTGGGCGCAGAGTTCTGAATGATTTGGAGTGTATGGATGGTGGTGGAGGGGAGACCAGTGAGGAGGGCGTTAGAGTAGTGCAGCCGAGAGGTGACACGGACCAGGGTTTCAGCGGCTTTTGGGGAGAGGTATTGGCGGAGACGGGCGATGCATCGGAGGTGGAAGAAAGTGGTGCTGGTGAGGGACCGGATGTGGGGGAAGAAGGATAATTGGGGTTTCGACCTGACGCCAGGGTTGCGTACGGGTTCGGAGAGTTTAAGTGGGAGGCCGGGTGGGTGGAGGAGGTGAGGACCATGAGATTTTAGACGTTGACGAGAGCTGAAGAGTGTGGCTTCCGTCTTGTCAACGTTCAGCTGAAGGAAGTTTGCGCTCTTCCAGCCCCTGACAGGCAGAGAGGTGAAAAAATAGAGTTGGGTGTCGTCCGCGTACATGTGGAAATGTACCCCATGTCTACGGATGACATCCCCAAGAGGGAGCATATAGAATATTAATTCATCTAATATCAAGTATTAGAAAGAGAAGGATTAGTTACTGCAGAGTAAGAGTAACAGAAAATGCTAGAATCTCAAGGAACACTTGCTCCAGGGCAAAGTGAGTGAAAAACAAGTGTGAATTATGGGAGTATAATGGTCAGTTGACCAGATGGATAAAATCTCAAAGAACCGTGTAACTTATATAGAGTTGCTTGGATTAGTGACTGCAGAGTAAGAATTAACGTCAAGTGAATTGACTGTGTATTTTGTGGGCGAAAAGTGGCAGCCAATTGTCCACAGGGTGTCCCACAAACAGTCGTGGATTGAGTCCAATTTTTTTTGAAGGGATTATTACTTCCGGAAAGTAAACAGCAATTGACTAACAACTGAGTTCCTGCTCCTGCTGGGTAAACAGGCTTGTGGAGTAAGGAACCTTGGTCAAGGTTTCATCCTGACCAGGAATCAAACCTGGGTCCTCTGCGCTAACCTCTATTCTACAGGACTAGTATGTGTTAACTTGGCTCAGTGGTAGCATTCTTACCTCTGAGTGGGGTCAAATCTCACGTCAGGACTTGGAATCACACAGTCTAAGCTGATGCCCCAATACAGCGCTGGGGGGGGGAGGGGTTGCACTGTGGGAGGTGCCGTCCTTGGGAGGAGACGTTAAACCGAGGTCCCGTCTGCCTGTTCAGGTGGATGGTAAAGATCCCGCGGGGCTATTGGAAAAGAGAAGGGAGTTTCTCTCTCTCTCCCGGTGTCCTGGACAACAATCCTCCAAATAATATTGCCCACTCGCCCCACGGCTGTGTGTGGGGCACTGCTGTGTGCAATTGCCCACAAAATTCACAGTCAAGTCATTTTACAATGTATTCTGTGAAGCGCTTTGAGAGGTCTCAAAAATGTGATATATCAAACTACATCAAATGCAAGGATTATTATTATTATTACTCACATTCATTGTTATCTGGCTTCTCTGCAGGTAATCAAACATTCGCGAGATGGGATAGACCGGATAAAGTAGGAACACGGATAAAGGGCCCTGATGGCATTGAATATCGCATTGGGGAAGGAAAAGGGTCATCGATGTACATATCCCACCAGAGACTGAGAAGCAGAGACTTTATTAAGGAAGGCAATGTTTTTTTCCTTTTAACCTGGGAAGGTACAATTTTATATTTATGTTTAGTATATTTTTGGGGGTCAGCCAAGTGTCTGACACATTCGGAAACCCATCAGTTGCTTAAGAATCTCCAAACCAAACTGAGAATTCTATGCATTCCAATTACGCATAGAAATCCCAGAGAGAGATTGTTGGAATGGAATGCACTCTCTCTCTCTCTATCTCTCTCTCCCTGGAGGGACTCATCCTGCCTACATAATTCCATATTAGGCGCAGGTTGGCAAGAGCCAAGGCTTGAGGACCCCAGAGTGTGGGGTATAACCAGCTGAAACAGTCACATCCAATTCACGTGGAATCTATGACGAGATTTTGTGTTTTCCATTCCTGTGGGTAAAATTTTGACTGATTGTGATGTGATAACCTAACCGTGTGAGTAGGTGTTAAAGCTGATACCTGTATTTAGGGAACACCCAAACATGCCAACCATTCTCAATTTCCCCACTGACACATGTTACATCAACAGCGCCTTGAGACGTCTCAAAGACATGATAAGGCGTTATATCAAATGCAAAGATTATTATTAATTATTAATAATAATTATTATTATTATCACAAGTCAGCCTTTTCACAGGGAGTCGAGGAAGAACTTCTTCACTCAAAGGGCGGTGAATGTATGGAACTCACTACCCCAAAGGGCTGTTGACGCTCAGTCCTTGAACATATTCAAGACTGAGATAGATAGATTTCTTATTGCAAAAGGGATTATGGGATATGGGGGTAAGGCAGCGTCAGGTTATTAGCTGGAGTTAGTTTAGAAGATCAGCCATGATTGAATGGCCGGGAAGGCTCGAAGGGCCGAATGGCCTCCTCCTGCTCCTACATGTTATGTTATGTTATGTTAATAGAGCTTTTCTCTTTCAGACATATCGCACCTTTTAACATATCAATCCAAACCCTCACCACCTACACCCACCGTGCCTCCAGGCTCCAAACCAAATGTTTCTGTGTTGTGCGTTGATTTTGAATGTCAGAACGGTGGTGTCTGCATTGTGGCAAATGGGAAACCTGTTTGCAGGTATTGTACTTTATTCATAACTTCAAATATTCTGTTTCACCGTTTGGTAAACCGGTAATACAGGAAAATGCTACCTGGATTTTGACTGGAAGAGTTACTGGCGGTGGAGGGGGATTAAATACACCTTTCCAGCAGAGTGTAATCTAGCAGTAATTAATAATTAATACAATCATAGAATCATACAGCACAGAAAGAGGCCATTCGGCCCATCATGTCCCCGCCGGCTCCTAAAAGAGCTTCCAACTCAATCCCACCGGCCCTCTTTCTCCCATAGCCCTGCAATCCTGTCCTCTCCAAATACCCGTCTACTTCTCTCTTAAAAGTTGTTATTCAATCGGCTTCCACTACCCTTTCAGGTAATGCATTCCAGATCCCAACAGCTCGCTGGTGAAAACATGTTTCCTAACCTTCCCTCTGTTTCTTTTAACAACTATCTTAAATCGGTGTCCTCGGGTTACTGACCCACATGACAGTGGGAACAGTTTTCCGGTTCAACCTGTCAAATCCTCTCATGATCTTGAAAACCTCTATTAAATCCCCTCTGAATCTTCTCTGTTCTGGGGAGAATAATCCTCGTTTCACTAACCTCTCCTCATAACTAAGGTCCTTCATTACTGGTACCATCGGGTAAACCTCCTTTGCACCCTCTCCAATGCCCTCACATCTTTCCTAAGGTGCGGTGCCCAGAACTGAACACAGTCTCCAACTGAGGCCTAACCAACACTTTATAAATATTCATCATTACCTCCTGACTTGTGTACTCTATGGCCTATTTATAAAGCCGAGTATCCCGGATGCTTTTTTAACAGCTTTATTACCTGTCCGGCCACCTTCAGAGATTTGCTGATGTGGACCCCCAGGTCTCTCTGTTCATTTGCCCCCTTTAAGATTGTACCATCAGCTTATATTGCCTCTCCTCATTCTTCCTACCAAAATGCATCACTTCACATTTCTCCACATTAAACCTCATCTGCCACGTTTCTGCCCATTTGACCAATCTGTCTAAGTCCTCTTGGAGGCTGGTGCTATCCTCCTCACCAAAAACTGTTAGGTTTGTCAGACACAATCTCCCTATAACAAATCCATGTTGACTGTCCTTTATTAAACCAAATAATTTGGTTTAATAAAGGTCACATAATAAAGGTTTAATAATGCTAATAATTTGGTCACTCAATCCACGGCTGTTTGTGGGACACTGCTGTGTATAATTGACTGCCACATTTCGCCCACAAAATATACAGTCAATCCACTTTACAGTATATTCTGTGAAGCGCTTTGAAACGTCTCAACAACAACAAACAACAACTTGCATTTGTATATCACCGTTCACACAGGGTAACGTCCTGGAGCTCTTAATAGTGGCAGAGTCTGAACCCCAGCCAGGGGGAGAGGGAGGGGGCAGGTGACCTTAAACACGATCAAAAAGGAAGGTCTTTTGGGGAGATTTGAAAGTGGGGAGGGAGGGGGCAAGGCGGAGGAATTGAGGGAGAGAGTTACAGAGCTTCAGGGCTTAGTGACTGAAAGCACAGCCGTCAATGGTGGAGCGAATGGGGCGATGGACGAACAGAAGGCCGGAGCCAGCCAAGCGAAGGCAGCAGATGGTGGAGTGGGGTTGAGCACGTTGGAGAGGGAGGGAGGGAGGTGTGAGGGCCTGAAGGGATTTGAAAACTAGAGGATTCATAGATTCATAGAATGTTATGGCACAGAAGGAGGCCATTCGGCCCATCGAGTCTGTGCGGCTCTTTGACAGAGCGTCACTTTCACTGACCCCAATCACCAGCTTTCTCCCCATAACCCCACAAACCCGTCTTCCCCGAAACCTGTCCAGTTCTCTCTTAAAAGCTGTTATGGAATCGGACTTCACTGCCCTTTCGGGCGGATCATTCCAAATCCCAACAACTCGCTGAGTGAAAACATTTCTTCTAACCTCCCCTCTGCTTCTTTTGGTGATATCTTCAGACTGTGACCGCGGGTCACAGACACACCTACCAGCGGAAACAGCTTTCCCTATCTCGCCTGTCGAAACCTTTCATGATCTTGAAGACCTCTATCAGGTCCCCGCGTAACCTTCTCTGCTCTAATGGGAAAAGTCCTAACTTCTCCACTGTCCTCATAGCTAAGGTTCCCCATTCCTGGTATCATTCTCGTGAATCTCCTCTGTACCCTTTCCAGTGCCTTAATGTCCTTCCTGAGGTAATGGGCCCAGAACTGGACGCAGTACTCCAGCTGAGGCCTAACCAGTGTTTTGTACAGATTAACCATAACCCCTACTCTTATACTCTGTGCCCTACTAATAAAGCTCAGTACACCAAATGCCTTTTTACTGCCCTATCTACCTGTCCCGATACCTTTAATGATTCGCTTACTTGAATGCCCAGATCTCTCTGTACGTTCACCCCCTTAAGATTGAGCTCCAAGTCTATTTTGCCTCCTATCATTCTTCCTATCTACGTGTATCACCTCACACTTATCCACATTGAAACCCATCTGCCACATGTCAGCCCATTCCACCATTCTGTGTATGTCTGTCTGCAGTCGGTTACAGTCCTCCTCACTATTTACTACCCGACCTAAGAACATAAGAATTAGGAGCAGGAGTCGGCCATTCAGCCCCTCGAGCCTGTGCCCCGCCATTCGATAAGATCATGGCTGATCTTCAGACCTAACTCTAATTACCTGCCCTGTCCCCATATCCTCTAATCCCTCTGTTTTTTACAAATCTCTCAGTCTCAGCCTTGAAGATGTTCAAGTACTGACTGACATCTACAGCCTTCTGGGGGAGTGGATTCCATAAAGTCACTGCCCTCTGAGTGAAGAAATGTTTCCTCAACTCTGTTCTAAAAGGCTGACCCTTAATTTTCAGACTGTGACCCCCGGTTATAGATTCTCCCACCGGGGAAACAGTCCCTCTGTGTCTACTTTATCAGCCCTTTAATAATCTTATATGTTTCAATAAGATCTCCCCTAATTTTTCTGTACTCTGGAGAATACAGCCCTAGTTTATTCAGCCTATCCTCATAGGTCAGTCCCCTCATCCCAGGAACTAACCGAGTGAATCTACGCTGCACCCCCTCGAGGGCAAGTGTGTCCTTTTTGAAATAAGGAAACCAAAACTGCACACAATACTCTCGGTGCGGTCTCACCAAAGCCCTATACAGTTGCAGCAAGACTTCCCTACTCTTATATTCTAAACCTTTTGCAATGAACGCTAACTGCCGTTCGCCTTCTTAGTTTCTGCTGCACCTGCAAACTAACTTTTTGAGACTGGTGTACAAGGACACCCAAATCCCTCTGTACTCTATCTACAACAACAACAAGATTGCATTTATAGAGCGCCTTTCACGTTGGGAGGATGTCCCAAGGCGCTGGAAGTTGGGTCGGGACCCGAGCAGGGGGGAAATGGTCAGGGTGAGGGAGGGAAGGGAGGGGGCGAGGAGGGGGGAAATGGTCAGGGTGAGGTGAGGGGAGGGAGGGGGCGAGGAGGGGGAAATGGTCAGGGTGAGGTGAGGGGAGGGAGGGAGTGAGGAGGGGGTAGAGAGTCGAGAGGGGAGCTGAAGGCTGAAGGTCGAAGAGAAAGGTCTTGAGACCGGCCTTGAAGGAGGAAAGGGAGGAAGCGGCGAAGGCACTGGGAGATGGAAGTTCCAGAAGATCTAATTTCTCCCCCTCTAGAAAATAATCTGTTCTTCTATTTTTTCTACCTACCGAGGTGAATAACTTCACACGTGCCCACATTAAATTCCATCTGCCACCTACTCGCCCACTCCCCTCGCCTATCTATATCCCGCTGCAATCTTTTTGCATCATCCTCAGAGCTCACTCTCCCACCGAGTTTAGTGTCATCTGTGAATTTAGATACGTTACAGTCAATGTCCTCATCTGGATCATTGATGTAAATTGTAAATAGCTGAGGCCCAAACACTGATCCTTGTGGCACTCCACTAGTCACCTCCTGCCACTTCGAGAATGACCCGTTTATCCCTACTCTCTGTTTTCTACCCGTCAGCCCCTCTTCAATCCATGTTAATATGTTCCCATTAATCCCGTGGGCCTTAACCTTGTGCAATAGCCTTTTGTGTGGCACTTTGTCAAATGCCTTTTTAAAATCTAAATATACTACATCTACTGGTTCCCCCCTTCTAACCTGCAGATACATCTTCAAAACACTCTAAAGGATTAGTGAAGCGTGACTTCCCTTTTATAAAGCCATGTTGACTGCCTAATCTTGTTATGGTCTTCCAGGAATCCCATAACGACATCCTTAATTGAGGACTCAAGAATTTTCCCTCCCACTGATGTCAGACTAACTGGTCTATAGTTCCCCATCTTCTCTCTCCCACCCTTCTTAAATAGTGGTGTTACGATTGCAATCTTCCAATCAATGGGAACCGGTCCAGAATCCAGAGAATTTTGGAAGATCAAAGACAAACCATCCACTGTCGCAGTAACCACCTCTTTTAAAACCCTGGGATGTAGGCCATCAGGTCCAGGGGATTTATCAGTTTTAAGATCTGATAATTTACCGAAAACCATTTCTTTACTAATATTAATTCCTCCAAGTTGCTCACTAACATTTTCTTCTTGGTTCATCTCTATTATTGGTAGGTTTTCAGTGTCTTCTAAGGTGAACCTAACTTTGTATCATCTGCAAACTTGGAAATAGTGCTCCCTATGGCCAAGTCCAGATCATTAATATATATTAGAAAGAGCAGTGGTCCCAATACCGATCCCTGGGGGACACCGCTGCACACCTCCGTCCATTGCGAGAAACACCCATTAACACCACCCTCTGCTTTCTGTCACTCAGTCAGTTCATAATCCAAACGGCTACTGTCCCCTTAATACTGTGGGCCTCTAATTTCTGTATTAATCTCTTATGCGGTACTGTGTCAAAAGCCTTTTTAAAATCCATGTAAATAATGTCCACCGCATTTCCCTCATCAACCCTCGCAGTCACCTCTTCAAAAAATTCCATTAGATTTGTTCGGCAAGATTTGCCTTTAACAAATCCATGTTGGGGTCTCTAATTACCTCGTGTTCCTCTAAGTAGAGATTTATTCTGTCCCGGATTATGGTCTCCAGTAGTTTTCCTATGACCGAAGTTAGGCTGACTGGCCTGTAATTTCCGGGCTTGTCTTTCTGCCCCTTTTTGTAGAGTGGGGTAACATTAGCCACTCTCCAGTCTCTTGGCACTACTCCTGTGTCCAATGACGATTGAAATATAATGGCCAAAGCCTCCGCTATTTGAACCCATATCTCCCACAGCAACCTTGGGTGAAACCCCTCTGGTCCTGGTGACTTATCAATTTTGAGCCCAGTCAATCTTTTCAGAACTTCCTCTCTGTCGATAGTAATCTGATCTATGTCCTCTGCCCTCTCACCAATGCTGCGGCATTTGGGGCATCCATTTCCGTTGTGAAGACAGATGCAAAGTACTCGTTCAGTACATCAGTCATCCCTCTGCCTCCACAACAAGATGGCCGTCATTGCCTTTGATTGGCCCCACCCTACCTTTAACTAACCTTTTTTCCTTTATGTGCTTGTAAAATATTTTAGGATTCCCCGTTATGTTACCCGCTAACCTCTTCTCAAGATCTTAAAGTTGATCTGTTCAGTAATTGGGAGCCAGTAGAGCTTGGCAAGGACTGGGGTGATGGGGGTACGGAGCCTCGTGTGGGTGAGAATCTGGGAGCGGAGATCTGAATTAGTTGTATTGTGTGTGTGGTGTTGCTGCGGAGACAGCGGGGAATAGTCCGGCCGAGAAGTGACGAAGGTGTGGACGAGGGTCTCGGCTGCTGTGGGTGTGAGGTTTGGATGGAGACGGGCAATGTAGGGGGAATAAAGTGGTCCTGTTCCGGGAACAAATGTGGGAGGAAAGGAAAGCTGGGAATCGAAGCTGACGCCGACGTGGCGCACGGGTTTGGGGAGTCTGAGGGAGAGTCCAGGGGAGGTTGAGAAGTTCAACTTGCAGGAGAGAACACGTTGACGGGAGCCAAAGATTACATCTTGCCAATGTTCAGCTGCAGGAAATTCCCCTCTCCCTCATGTGAAGGTCTAGCTTCCTCTTGAATGGAACTACACTCTCTGATTCAACCATCATTTTAGACAGCGAGTGCTATGAAGCTATTACTATATCAACGACATAATTTGTATTTATTATCAATAATAACAATTCCAGGACACCGGGAGAGAGAGAGAAACTCCCTTCTCTTTTCCAATAGCCCCGCGGGATCTCTACCATCCACCTGAACAGACAGATGGGACCTCGGTTTAACGTCCCAGTAACCCCCCCCACCCCACCCTTCACCAGCGCTGGATTGGAGCATCAGCTTAGACTGTAATTTAGTTATATAGCGGCTTTCACACCCAAGGCACTGACCTGACATTGGGAATGTGGCGCAAGGCCTAATGTGTTATCACATCTTCCTTTATAGGTGCCCAGCGGGCAATGGTTGGTGGTTTTCGGGCAAATACTGTAATATGTACGGGAAGAAAGAGGACGCCATTATAATGGCAGTGTCCTCAGCCTTTACTGTGTTCATACTAATGGTGGTGTGCACACTGGTCATCAGCCTCTCCCTAAAGCAGAAATACCAGAAGGAAATGAGAAAAAATAAACAAGGAAAAATATTTATAAATGTGAGTATTTACAACTTTATTCGTCAAATATTTGGAGTCCAGCAGCATATTGGTTAGAGCATTCGCCTCGCAATCGAGAGGACCTGGGTTCGATTCCCAGGCAGGGAGAAATTTTAGGCAAATTTCCACATGCTTGTTTATTTAGCAGTAAGTAGTAACGCAGTTGTTATTCGATTGGCAAATTGCTTTTTCCGAGGATTATAATCCCTTCAAAAAATAAATACTGTTAATAATAAAAAATAACAATTTGCTCACTCAACCCACGACTGTTTGTGTCGGCTGCCGCACTTCGCCCAAAATATACAGTCAATTCCACTTTACAGTATATTCTGTGAAGCGCTTTGAGACGTCTCAAAGACATGATAAGGCTCTATATCAAATGCAAGATTTATTATTATAATTGCAAGTAGTTTTTTAATCTTATAAAGAGACACTTTCTTTCTCTCTGTTGACGATTCAGGACATCCGCGTTATAACCCATTTGTAATGTAATCATCGGTGGTACAATATCTCAAGACCTGCTCACAAAGTAAAGGATGTTTCCAACCTGGGAGGTTTACTCAAAATTAATGAGAGAAGTATATTCTTTTTTTTAAAAAATTATATTACTCAACTTCTGTATTTCCCATTCAAATGTATTAAACAGTATTAAAAAGTAGTGTAGCTCAAAAGGGGCTAGTCTTCTGTAAGAAATAAAATCCTATGACAATCATGACTTTGTTTCTAAATCTATATTAGTAGTGCGCTCGCCACATAAGCGAGAGAACCTGGGTTTGATTCCCGGGCAGAGCAAAATGTTGGACAAGTTTCCTTATTCCACTCTGTTTACCTAATTGTGAATAGGAACCCCGGTTGTCAGTCGATTGGCAGATCATTTTTCGGCGGCTAATAATCCCTCCAAAAAAATTGGTTACTCAATCTACCACTGTTTGTGAGACTTGGCTGTGTCCAATTGGCTGCTGCATTTTGCCCACAAAATATGCAGTCAATTCACTTCACAATATTTTCTGTGAAGCGCTTTGAGACGTCTCAACAGTATCTCAACAACTGGGTACTATCCTCACACAGCGTAGTACCCGGAGCACTTGGAAAACATGTCCCTCAAACCTGGCAAAGCCATCGACAAATGGTGAAGGTGATAAGTGGTGAATGTGGATTATTCCTAATATTCTCTCTGTCTGATCAACCGATCTGTATTTCCTCCAAACCCAATATGAAAAGAATTAAAGGAATCACAAAACTGATATATTGCCTTTCCTAAATACATGTTTTGGTGAGACAGAGGCAGAGATGGGGGTAGAGTCGGCAATGTTGCGGACGAGAAGCAAAGGGGTCCTGTGATCAGAGACCGAATGTGAGGAAGGAAGGACGAAAGGAGGGAGGGAGGGAGGGAGACTGGCTGCTGCGTTTCGCCCACAAAATTCACAGACTCAGACGCCACAGTGACGTATTGGGTGTGATATCAAATGCAGATTATTATGATTATGAAATTAACTTTGTGAATGGTGGAGAAGGAGACACTAGTGATGAGGGCATGAGAGAGGTCAAGAGTCAGCAGCTTTGGGTATCAAGTTTCATCAGAGGTGAACTATGTGGGACAGGACTCAGCTCAGCTCCACCACTGTCCCACTGAGGCTCAGCTCCACCACTGTCCCACTGAGGCTCAGCTCCGCCACTGTCCCACTGACAGCTCAGCTCCACCACTGTCCCACTGAGGCTCAGCTCCACCACTGTCCCACTGAGGCTCAGCTCCACCACTGTCCCACTGAGGCTCAGCTCCACCACTGTCCCACTGACAGCTCAGCTCCACCACTGTCCCACTGACAGCTCAGCTCCACCACTGTCCCACTGACAGCTCAGCTCCACCACTGTCCCACTGAGGCTCAGCTCCACCACTGTCCCACTGACAGCTCAGCTCCACCACTGTCCCACTGACAGCTCTGCTCCACCACTGTCCCACTGACAGCTCAGCTCCACCACTGTCCCACTGAGGCTCAGCTCCACCACTGTCCCACTGACAGCTCAGCTCCACCACTGTCCCACTGAGGCTCAGCTCCACCACTGTCCCACTGACAGCTCAGCTCCACCACTGTCCCACTGAGGCTCAGCTCCACCACTGTCCCACTGACAGCTCAGCTCCACCACTGTCCCACTGACAGCTCTGCTCCACCACTGTCCCACTGACAGCTCTGCTCCACCACTGTCCCACTGACAGCACAGCTCCACCACTGTCCCACTGAGCTCAGCTCCACCACTGTCCCACTGAGGCTCAGCTCCACCACTGTCCCACTGAGGCTCAGCTCCACCACTGTCCCACTGAGGCTCAGCTCCACCACTGTCCCACTGAGGCTCAGCTCCACCACTGTCCCACTGACAGCTCAGCTCCACCACTGTCCCACTGACAGCTCAGCTCCACCACTGTCCCACTGACAGCTCAGCTCCACCACTGTCCCACTGAGGCTCAGCTCCGCCACTGTCCCACTGACAGCTCAGCTCCACCACTGTCCCACTGAGGCTCAGCTCCACCACTGACCCACTGAGGCTCAGCTCCACCACTGACCCACTGAGGCTCAGCTCCACCACTGTCCCACTGACAGCTCAGCTCCACCACTGTCCCACTGAGGCTCAGCTCCACCACTGACCCACTGAGGCTCAGCTCCACCACTGACCCACTGAGGCTCAGCTCCACCACTGTCCCACTGACAGTGACACTGAGGCTCGCGCGGCACTGGAGGTTTTTGAGCCTAAAATCAGATCATAAATTGAAACTAAAGTCGGCGACACGAACCGATCCGTCACCGCAGGTCAGTGCCCGGGGGCGGGGACAGTGCCTGGTGTCTGGGGTTTAGGGGGTTGGTGTGTGGGGTTTAGGGGGTTGGTGTTTGGGGTTTAGGGGGTTGGTGTCTGGGGTTTAGGGGGTTGGTGACTGGGGTTTAGGGGGTTGGTGACTGGGGTTTAGGGGTTGGTGACTGGGGTTTAGGGGGTTGGTGACTGGGGTTTAGGGGGTTGGTGTTTGGGGTTTAGGGGGTTGGTGTTTGGGGTTTAGGGGTTGGTGTCTGGGGTTTAGGGGGTTGGTGTCTGGGGTTTAGGGGTTTGTGTCTGGGGTTTAGGGGTTTGTGTCTGGGGTTTAGGGGTTGGTGTTGGGGTTTAGGGGTTGGTGTCTGGGGTTTAGGGGGTTGGTGTCTGGGGTTTAGGGGTTGGTGTCTGGGGTTTAGGGGTTGGTGTTTGGGGTTTAGGGGTTGGTGTCTGGGGTTTAGGGGGTTGGTGTCTGGGGTTTAGGGGGTTGGTGTCTGGGGTTTAGGGGTTGGTGTTTGGGGTTTAGGGGGTTGGTGTTTGGGGTTTAGGGGTTGGTGTTTGGGGTTTAGGGGGTTGGTGTCTGGGGTTTAGGGGGTTGGTGTCTGGGGTTTAGGGGGTTGGTGTCTGGGGTTTAGGGGGTTGGTGTTTGGGGTTTAGGGGGTTGGTGTTTGGGGTTTAGGGGGTTGGTGTCTGGGGTTTAGGGGGTTGGTGTCTGGGGTTTAGGGGTTGGTGTTTGGGGTTTAGGGGGTTGGTGTTTGGGGTTTAGGGGGTTGGTGTTTGGGGTTTAGGGGTTGGTGTCTGGGGTTTAGGGGTTGGTGACTGGGGTTTAGGGGGTTGGTGACTGGGGTTTAGGGGGTTGGTGACTGGGGTTTAGGGGTTGGTGTCTGGGGTTTAGGGGGTTGGTGTCTGGGGTTTAGGGGGTTGGTGTTTGGGGTTTAGGGGGTTGGTGTTTGGGGTTTAGGGGGTTGGTGTCTGGGGTTTAGGGGTTGGTGTCTGGGGTTTAGGGGGTTGGTGTTTGGGGTTTAGGGGTTGGTGTCTGGGGTTTAGGGGTTGGTGTTTGGGGTTTAGGGGGTTGGTGTCTGGGGTTTAGGGGGTTGGTGTCTGGGGTTTAGGGGGTTGGTGTTTGGGGTTTAGGGGGTTGGTGTTTGGGGTTTAGGGGGTTGGTGTCTGGGGTTTAGGGGGTTGGTGACTGGGGTTTAGGGGGTTGGTGACTGGGGTTTAGGGGGTTGGTGACTGGGGTTTAGGGGGTTGGTGACTGGGGTTTAGGGGGTTGGTGTTTGGGGTTTAGGGGGTTGGTGTTTGGGGTTTAGGGGGTTGGTGTCTGGGTTTAGGGGTTGGTGTCTGGGGTTTAGGGGGTTGGTGTTGGGGTTTAGGGGTTTGTGTCTGGGGTTTAGGGGTTGGTGTTTGGGGTTTAGGGGGTGGTGTTTGGGGTTTAGGGGGTTGGTGTCTGGGGTTTAGGGGGTTGGTGTCTGGGGTTTAGGGGGTTGGTGTTTGGGGTTTAGGGGGTTGGTGTTTGGGGTTTAGGGGGTTGGTGTCTGGGGTTTAGGGGTTGGTGTCTGGGGTTTAGGGGGTTGGTGTTTGGGGTTTAGGGGTTTGTGTCTGGGGTTTAGGGGTTGGTGTCTGGGGTTTATGGGGTTGGTGACTGGGGTTTAGGGGGTTGGTGTCTGGGGTTTAGGGGGTTGGTGTTTGGGGTTTAGGGGGTTGGTGTTTGGGGTTTAGGGGGTTGGTGTTTGGGGTTTAGGGGGTTGGTGTCTGGGGTTTAGGGGGTTGGTGTCTGGGGTTTAGGGGGTTGGTGTTTGGGGTTTAGGGGTTGGTGTTTGGGGTTTAGGGGTTGGTGTCTGGGGTTTAGGGGGTTGGTGTTTGGGGTTTAGGGGGTTGGTGTCTGGGGTTTAGGGGTTTGTGTCTGGGGTTTAGGGGTTGGTGTCTGGGGTTTAGGGTTGGTGTCTGGGGTTTAGGGGTTGGTGTCTGGGGTTTAGGGGTTGGTGTCTGGGGTTTAGGGGTTGGTGTCTGGGGTTTAGGGGTTGGTGTCTGGGGTTTAGGGGTTTGTGTCTGGGGTTTAGGGGTTGGTGTCTGGGGTTTAGGGGTTGGTGTCTGGGGTTTAGGGGTTGGTGTCTGGGTTTAGGGGTTGGTGTCTGGGGTTTAGGGGTTGGTGTCTGGGGTTTAGGGGGTTGGTGTCTGGGGTTTAGGGGTTGGTGTCTGGGGTTTAGGGGGTTGGTGTTTGGGGTTTAGGGGTTTGTGTCTGGGGTTTAGGGGGTTGGTGT